ACAGTGTATAATATTAATAAAAGGCTTGGGAAAGTGATAAGACAGAGCACCTGCTCATACTGCTAATAAAGCACAGAAATGGCTTACGGAAAATATTTCGTAAATTTGGGAGGAAGAAATTTGGCCCCCAAGCAGTCCCGATATCAATCCGTTGGATTATTTTGTATAGAGCGTCGTCCAACGGGATACCAATAGAACCCATCACACCACACTTAAGTCGCTAAAAGCTAAAATAAAGGCAGTGATGACATCTATGGATCGAAACATTTTAAAACGTGCATACTGCAGTTTCCGGAAGCGTCTAACTACAGTCGTCGAAAGGGAAGGCAATTTTTTTGAATAAATTTACTTACAACTTCCATATGTTGCGAAAGAAAATAAATCGCACAAAATTCATTGCTAGAATAACTAACTGGTGTATTTTTTCTCAAATATGCCATTTACTGCAAAAATTCGTCACGCACCCTGTACATGATATATATTGTAAACGTATATGATATGTGACGCTCCATTTAGGTGCATCATATTGAACATAAATGTACACTACATTTTCGAACTGTGTATTTAAAATAAAAACACATTTCGGGTTCGGGTCGGTCACATGACATACCCGACTATCCCTATTATTCAGTTAAAGTAGTTTTATCAAACCGATGACGGTGAGGTGGTTTAATTTTTAATTTAAAGTTCTAGTAAAGTTCTATGAGCGAGCATCAGAAAAGGACTTTCTGGCAGCCTTATTTGCTATTTTGTTTTGATTCTGCGTTCCGTTTTGCATCGATCTATTTCGCTTTTCTCTATAGAGATTTTCACGTCCGGTTGTATTGGTGCGATATGTGAAAGCGTGTTAGTGAATATCCGAGAAAAATACATAACAAATCGATGTAAAACTCATTTTGACAGATCTACTTTCATACATTTTTTAGGTTAGCCAGAGGAAAATAGTAAACAATTTTAAACGGCGTTGCTTCCGCTAGTGTGCGTGCGATAAACATCACTCATATCTATTCCATGTGCTGAATGTCGCTTGAGAAATAATTTGAATAGCATGACAGTTTACCGGGAGTCCACGGTATTGGTTTTTTTTTTTGGAAATTTCACCTTGTTTGTGTTTAATTATGTGCAATGGTTCACAATTACTTCAGCAATGTTCCGAGAATTACACTGAAATTTAAGAAACGTAAGAAAATTTACATGAACATCAGGGAAACGTGAAAACATTTAAAGGAAGTTTGGCAACTTCAAGAACTTCATAAAACTTCGAGAACTTCTGAAGATAAGTGAACTCCTTAAAAGTTTAGAGATTTTAATTGTTTTTGATCTAATACAATAGAAATTATGTCAAATCATGATAAAATAGACTGCATTGTTATGCTCAAAAACAAATTTATTGCACATGATGAAAATTAATCAGAAAAGTCAGTGATAAAATACATTGTTTAAATAAATTTACCCCGTTTTACGGTTCTTCGAGGCCCATCGGAAAACATCATAGCAGTCCCATTAACTTAAAGACATTGCAGGAATTTTCAAGGCATTCTGAGGAATTATGGGATATTCTTAAGGCATGTTCCTAATGTTTCCTGCTTAAGGGGTCTTCCGAGATTTTTAAGAATATCAGAAAAGTTGTCGGAACATTTGAAAATTTAGGAAATTTTTAAAAAACTTCAGGAAATAACAGATAAATTAAGGTATAATTGGAGTTTTTAGATGTAGTTCCACGAGCTTCAAAGATGTTTTCAAATCTTCAGAAAGGTTATTATGGGAACTTTAAGGCAATTTTGTTATCTTCAGTAAAATTTGGGTAAACATTTTTTTTTAAATACCTGTGCGCCTTAAACATCAGTAAAATGTAAACTGTAAGCGAAGTTTTAAGATGACGAAAAATTAGTTTCGATAATTTAAGGGCGGTTCCATGTAGTTGAGAAAATTTTTATTAATTTAAGTGAGAATCTAAAAACAATATTTATAAATTCGAATTAATTTCAGAAAAATTGAGCGATCTCACAGAAGATCCGGCATTTTCCTAACAATCCAAAAAATTGCTTTCCCAACAGGCCAAAAAGATGCTTTTCTGAGTTCTGAGAAGCTAAGAAATTGTAACATCTTCACAGAAGTCTAAAAAACTTCAGGAAAGCTTTAAGAACTTTAAGAAGTTCAGAGAAAATCCGGGAACTTCAGTTTCATGAATATCAAGAAAATATAGGAATGTTTTGAAAGAAGCTGCGTTAGCTTTAGAGCTGTTTTGAGAAATAATAAATATCCCGAGAACTTCAGGGAAGATCAGATAAGTTCATAACAGTTCCATTTATTTCAGGGATATTCCTAAAATTTTAAAGAAGATTCGTGATCTTCAAGGAATTTCTTTAAACTTCAGGAAATTCCTACGTTCCAGAAAATTGCTAGAACTTCAGGGTGACTGAGGCCTTTAAGGACGTCCAGTGAAGCTCAGGGAAGTTTAAAGATTTCATGGAAAGTACCGTGAGCAGCAGGGTAACTTCGAAAGCACTTCAAGGCAGATTCATTAATTTTAGCAAAATTATGGATACTTTTAAGAAATTCTGAGGACCTCCCTTAGCTCAGTCGGTAAAGGCGCAGCTACAAAGCAAGACCATGCTGGAGGTGACTGGGTTCGATTCCCGGTCCGGTCTAGGAATTTTATGGGTTGGAAAATTTCTCGACTTCCCTGTACACAATTATACTAAAGCAAACATGGTACCAGTATCGAAAGCTCTCAATTAAGAACTGTTAAAGTGCATCTAGCACACTAAGTTGAGAGCACGCAATAAACTAATTTGCGATAAACAATAAACTTGGAATGCGAGAAATAGGAAGAAAAAGGGCATCAAAAAAGTTATGTAAACTTTAAGTTAATACGAATTCGAGGAAGTTCAGAGAAGTTCGCGAAAGTTTTGAGATCTTTAGGGCAGTTCCTAGAGCTTCAGGATAATTCCGAGATCTTCAAGGCTGTATTTTGAATATCAGGAAAATGGCAGGATTTCCGTGACCTATGGACTGTTGAAGACGGTCCCGGCGTAGTGGTTAACATCCCTGTCATGTACCTTCTGGCAAGTGGTCACAATAGGAAAGAGCAAAATGACAAGATCGTAGGCTGCATCTAATAATAAATTGACCGCATTCAAACATTTTGAGGGTGCCTTCGAAGGAGAAACCAATTTATATAATATGGCACATTATACCACATACTATTTAATGCGGGTTTGAGTGTCGTTGTCTAAATTTAAATAAATAAAAAGGGTTCGATCATACCAGAGATGAATCAATTTATGTTTAAATAATAATTTCACTCTGACTCGCACTTTGGCGAGTTAGTCGTAACCAACATATTTTGGATGTTTTCAAAAGCACAGTTCTGACAGTTTTGAATATTACAAGAATTCTCTATGCCCCTGGCATATTTCAGTACTCTCGAGGTGTACTCGAAATTCAGAGAGTTCTGAGAATTGAGTTAAAGCTTATATAGAAGATGTGCATAATTAGATAGCTCTTAGATTATCGGGTTTCCGTAAATTTTCCGAGGGTTACTTATTTTCCAGGCGATTCGAACTTCTTAGTATTCTTGCAATTTTTAATGCTCTGACAGTTCTTCTCTTCTCGTTGTAGAGTGTATGAATTTATTTAATTACCAAGAGTTCCATAAGTTTCAGGAAGTCTAGGAATTTTAAGATGTTTAAACATGCCCAGAGTACCGGAGCGTCTTGGAGTTCTCAGGAGTACGGAGGGTTACTTGAGTTTGACAAGTTCACGTAGTCGTAGAACTTTAGGATTTCATGAAGATATTCAAGTGTAGTCTACGTTTCTTCCAATCCTTGCCAAAGTACATCGTGGTTCTCTGATCTCAGAGTAACCTGTAGAATATCACGATCTACATTGTAATAATCCAGAAACTCCTCAGTACGGCTAAGTGATGCCAGAAATGTATTCCTTCTCACATTCAACCGTTGTATTTTTACTTGGTCTTCCATCGCGTGTTAATAAGTCAGTTTCTGAAGCAAGACAAACAAGACCAGAAGCACGGGAGGGAAATAATTAAGTGTTAAAAATGGTACTAACCTGTCTATTTGGGGATTTGTGCCTTGCCTATTTTGGATTTTCTAGATGACTACGTATGTGGACATTCCATACCAGATGTTCGTAGCGCTTATCACTATCCTGGTCAAGGAACATATTTTTGTTGATCGTTACTTGCTTTTATGTCGGTTCTGTAGAGCATGCTTTAAAACTTCGATAAAACTTGCAATGTTACTTGGGCTGCGTCACTTGTACGATCTGCAACTCGATAAGCAGACCATTTTATTACAAATCACGAAACCTGCAGCAATACAAAAAGCATCTTAGAAAAACACACTATCAGACCCTATTTCCTATAACTGGGCATTGATGTTCAGCCCCGTTCATTGGAAGCTTAATCGATACAGTGATGAAATAGAACATCCCTTCAATATCGAGTTGTAGAGAGTTCACTGTACTTTTTTTTTTTAAATGAATCACCCTAATGTTCCTTGCACAAAAATAAGTACCGAATGTCCTACACGACAGCTTTTAATTCCATATTTTAACCATGACTTTTCTTAATGTTGTGATTTAATTTATTTAAATTCAAGAATTAACATATAAATGACAAACAACAAACATTAGAATTACATAATGGAACTCATTCTCTTACATTGAACTATGCTCATCTGATGTGAACAATGCTGATCTGATGTGAACCATGCTGATCTGATGCTTATGATCAAAATTAAGTGAAATGTAGTGGATTGAGTAAATGTAGGAACTGTTACTCTAGATCGCAGCATATATCTTCTCCCAGAAATGCACACATTTAGCTAAGATAGATCAGGTAATTGCTCACAGAAAATTCGTTCCCCCAAACAGCCGTAGTTTAGTCAACTCTGGAGATAGCTACTGTAATAGGGTCAAAGGTAAAATACTATAATAAAATCCGCTTAGAACTGAATAAACAAACAATTTGCCACATCAACCCTTGTCCTGCGGTTATCAACTCATTCACTCTTTCATGCACACATTTACATCTCAACAGCAATGTTATTACCATCATCTACAACCGAGTCAGGTGTATCCATTTCTTCCATAGCGCTATCCTGTTTGCCGTCGCCACAATATGCCTTATCACGTGCTCCCGAGCCACCCACCCCCACGTCATCACAACTGCCCTCACTGCTGACACCCTTTCGCTCACCATCATCAACGCCGCCCAGGTGCGTCGGCACAGTTTCTTCACTTTCGACACTGCTGGCACCTGCATTATAGATAACCGTGTCATACCGTTGAATGGAGCTATTGTGATCCGTGCTTTGTTTTCCATCACCATCTTCATCATCATCATCGTCGTCGGCATCGGTTGAGCCACCTTGTTTTCCTCCTTCAACCCCCTGTAGACCACAATCAACGGCAATCGTTTTCGTAGTTGCCTTCTGTGGGAGCTTTTCCGGACTAGCTTGCAATAGATTGGTCATGGCAGATGAAATGTCGGCCACCACGCTAAATTTGTTCGAACCTAAGCTCTCCCCAACCAGGCAGAAATCATCACCTTCCTGTCGACAGGAAGGGACCTCCTGGCCCAGTCCACTATCCTGATCCTGTGTCTGCTTTGACTCATCCCCACACACACTGTTGAATTTACTAAAGTTCTTACTTCGTCGCTCGTGTATAACCTCAATCGAGTCGTAGTAGTCATCATCACGTGCATGATGGAAATTAGGATAACGATTACTTCCGGTGCCCGAGCCAGCGAGAGCCACCGTTGCCGAAGGGCTTCCGTGCTCGGGTCCACCGCCACTGCTGCTGCTAATCACGTATATCTGATCAAATTCGTTGCTTAGTTTTTTGCTTTTGATTTTTGGTTTCGGTTTACGGAAGCTTTTCGTAGAATTGCTCCGATAGAGGAACCGATTGGCCTTCTCGTTCGGTAGATGACCGTCGTCAGTGGTCGATGTCCTGCCCACTAGAACTAACGAGTCCGGTCGAATTAGCTGTGCAGATTTTGGCCCCTCTGTCTCGGGAAGGGGGGATTTATTCGTTGAGGCATTGCTAATAGGCGGTTGATGACCATGACGGGTGGGAGATTTCCCTGCACATTGCGATTGTTCCTCCTGCTCCGGACTATTCTCCTCGCACGGTTCTAAGCTCGATTGACAGGACAGATTGCGAGGAGCAATCGCCGGTTCGGAGCATATCGATAGTTGACTCCTGAGAAGAAAATAAAAATAAAAAACACCTATGAGTCTTTCGCACATCTAAAGTAATGATTTCAACAACATAAGATGATACTCAGATACACTGAATGAGCTGAAATAGCATTTTGCCTGCATCGACGAAAATCACTAGCGGAAGACTTGGGAAAACTAATTTGCCGGTATTGTTCCAAAGTTCATTGCCACTTGCCGAAAATAACCAAACGGATATTCCATATCCTTCCACTGAGCGAAATAACGTAGCCTGTTGAGCTTCTCATTACAATTTAGAAATCAAAATAATACAGCTTCATCATACTGGGCGGTTCGGACATATTTAATCCATCACAACGTCTATATCTATAGGTAACGGTTCATTCAGAAGGGGGTAATACGGTATCACTTCAAGTCATATAATCATTTCTGTTTTATCGAGATTCTCGACCAGCCATATTACAGGCAGGTACGACCTAAAGGCACAGCGGGAAACCGTTCGACTGATGGAGTTTGGTTTCATGGAACTTTTCTTTTCATGTACCTAGCTAAAAGAGCATATAAACTTGTAGCATGAGCTAAATTTTTCGTGACACTAATGATGGCGTTTCGTTTTGCGGTTAGTCACCTTGGCTTTCTTTCGATTTCTGGTGCCTGCTACGAACAGACCACTAAATTCTGAAATCTGTTGCTTACGTGTTCGTCCGAGGAAACTTGTTGGTAGAAAATAGGCAAAAACGAACTTCTGCTCGATTAAAAAAAAACCGGGGTTTTTCACATTCACACGCAAGTTATTCTGATTACGTAGATAGGTGTGAAGACGTGTCATTCTTAGAACAAAGAACGTCACTAGTCAGGGACACGCAACCAAGTCGGTGACCGCTTAAGTGATTTCCGACAAAAAAAAATAATGGCTTGATATCAAGGGGTAAGCCACTCAGCACATTATTCCGAAAGTAGAATCGGTACACCTTTGGCACAATCTCGTAGGCATTGGATTGTTCATTGCATAAAATGGGAGCAGTGCTGAACAACTGTCATTGAAGTTGTTCACAACATTACGTCGTGTTTGACTGTATATTTCAGGAACATCCTCTAATTGAATACACCAGAGGAACCCGACCAGCAGTTACTTCTCGGTTCATAGAGTGCCAGGGTATATGTAGATTTGAATCCGCAATGTAGGCTTTAGCGAGGGCTTAAGAGTTAGAAGCAGTTAATCAGACCCCAATAGTAACCGTAATTGAAAAAAATACTGCAGCTCACACAAAACAAACTACAAAAGTACATACTAATCAAGACTCATCATCCTCCATATTCGGTCTCCAACAATGTTCTGCACCGGATCCAACTCTTTCCTGCCGCTAATAGACCGTTGCGTTTCCATTGGCGTAGCTAGAAAACTTATCTGGAGGGGGCCTGTTGCATTTTTTTATTTTGCTAAACTATGGTTAAATAAAAACTCGGGAAGATGCTATTCAATCACATTGCGTCAAGGCGACATTTAGGCTTGCTATGCTGAAACAATAAATTTGATTATTTTTCTTTCATAACAACGATTGGGAACTCAACTGGGGGAGCATCTCAGACTTAAGAAAAGTCTCAGAGTAAGGTAATTTCATAAATTTTGTAACTTATCATTAGTTAAATATTAAACTTATGAACCAAAATTAAATTTTAGGAGTTTTAATTTTAAACCAAGTAAAGTTCACACAGAATAAATTTCATACATGTAGGACTTGTGTAGGAAAATTTTCAATATATATGTCAATGCTTATATGTCTTAATATTTTGACTAAGACTTCGTTAAAACATAAATAGTTTTGTGTAATGAATGTATTTGTACAGATATCGTAACGACCATATTGTTCTTTATTCACGACCAAAAGTACATGTTTATCGTCTTCTTCTCTAGTCCATGACTGCCGCTCGACTCCTCATTGACAGGCGGACACGTCTGATACAAGGGGTGACTGAATGCTTTCGATTACTAATTACCTCTAACGTCACATTTAGAGATCCCAAACCCATATTTTTGCCAGATTTTATAACTAAAAGAATATAAAAAAAATATAAACTAAAGCTTAGACAAACTTTGCATCTCCTGAACTTCAAAATTCGTAATCCAAGATCTTGGTAAACTTACTTAGATTCTGAGACTCACATAATTTTTCAAGAGGAAAATTCTTCGAGATAAGAAAGTAATTTAAAAATCTTAACATCTGGCAAAAAATATGAAAAATTATGTTAAAATTTGTCATAATTCTGATATTTGAAAGGAAAATAGATTGATAAAGCATTTATCCAGCACAATTTTTTATTCAATGCATCGGACTAACTAACATTCGGAGTTATACATAAAATCAAGATTAAACATTTATTCCAATCGAAAGGAATGAACTCAAATCTTGAATGATTGTGTCACTGTTTGTAACTTGATCATAATTGAATTTATTTTTACAAAAGCATTGGGATTTATCTATTTTTTAGTTTTAAATGTAGTTAGTCTTGGATTGTTAATGTGCTAATATCCTGCAGCCGAATTCCTGGTATAAGTTTCATCGAAAATAAAGAAATTTATACATATTATGTACATACAGATATGTCCATTTCTTCGTTAAAATTTATGTCCGGAATTCAGCTGCTGGAGTACCAATTCTCGACAATATAGCTAAAGCACCAAAGCACCTATAGAAAATGTACAAACATGTGCATAAAGTTTAGATTCATCATTCAACTAGCTGGAAAACTTTTGAATACTTCCTGAACTGCATACAGTCTTGAAAGAACATTGAATTTATAAACAGTTGGAAATTCTTAGAACTTGATCAACCTGAAGTCTTGGAAGAATAATCAAAGAACCATTCTAATATCTTCGTCTTTATGGAGATCTTTTGAGCATTCCCTGCTGCCTATCAAGGATGTCTGAAAGAATATCCTGTAACTTATTAAAGCTTAGCTTAGCTTAGCTTAGCTTAGTTAGCTTAGCTTAGTCTGACTGCACGTATCGATAGTTGCACTCCGTGATTGATCTGAACCAGTGAAATTGTACAAAGAATCAACTGAATGTGGCTTGGTAGTAACCTGCCATTCTCAGTGTACATGTTCCAGTGACTCCTACCTTTAAAGATCAATAACGTCACCGGCCACGTCCTTGCAATCAGGTGGGAGAGGGAAGGAATGTTAGTGTGTGACTTTTGTTGTTTTGGGACCGTGTTTACCTCTGCATCCCACAAAAGTCACAGGAAGGAGGTTTTGTTAGTGGGTTAGGTTCGTTGGATCAGGATTCACCTTGATAAGTGATGCGATCTTTTGTTTTGTGTAGTTATTTATAAGTGTTTTCGATTTATGCTCTAAACAGCCGGCTGTCTAGAGATGTAGATCATTATTAGATGTGTGTATACCGATTTAAACCAACAATAAGGATACTGTTGGGGCCCCTCACAAAGTGTGATGATGGTTTATTTTATTTTATCAATGACCAAAATAATTAATTATAAGCGGTTTGAACCGATTTAAACCAACAGCAAGGATGCTGTTGGGGCCACTCACAAAGTGTGATGGTGGTTTACTTGATTGAATATAAAATAATTATTAGAACCGATTTGACCCGATTTAGACCAACGGCAAGGATACTGTTGGGGCCACTCACAAAGTGTGATGGTGGTTTATTTAGTTCGGAAGAAAATGAATATGTATACTTCTTTTTTTTTTTATATAATAGAACGAATTTGTACTGATTCAAACCAAAAGCAAGGGTTCTATTGGGGCAACTCACAAAGTGCGATGGTGGTTTATACTATAAGGGCATAAAACAAAATCAAGAGCCATTTCGGTTTCCATAGCTTCCTAGACACTCGGCCGCAAAATAATCTTATCCGACGGAAACGTCTCGATCATCGCTGCACAATGGTTTATTATAGCATTTATAAAGTAAATTTGAATACCTTATTGTTTATTTATTATCCATTTTGACTTGACTTGGTACCGTTCAGTTTTATGATGACAAAGTTGCCTGGAGAAAAGTGACAGTTCAAAATGTTTCGGAAGGGAGTCAGCTAGTGTCGTCCAAGTTCAAGTGCGGAAAAAATGCCATTTAAAGTGGTACAAACAATTGAAAGATGCGAAACATGCCTAACCGTAATTCTTTCTGGTTGGAAAGAAGCTGGAATCCTACACTGGCCGGAAAAAAAACGCGGTAGCGAAACTCTCTCAAGACGAGTTCTCCATGCCAAACCCAATGTGGGAACGTATCAATTGAGTGAAAAAAAGAGAGTTCAAGACTCGCTTGTAGGCTGAAGCAGAATTGGAACAGATGTAGCCAGTTTCGGATACGGAGGCGAACGAAGGGAATAATCCACCACCGTCAAAGAAAGTTTGCCCCGAAGTCTACAAGTCCCCCAGTCGGAAGGGAAACACAATAAGAGACTTTAACGAAGTTTTCCTTATTCCTGGGCAGGAGGTTGACACCTGTGAAGCTGACTGTAAAATCCAGAATCAGATGAGATTATAATATATGCGACACAAATTCACTTTTTTATAGGGGAACATGTGATGTGAATAGAACCCACCATCAGTGCAAGGATTACATATGACTGCAGATACTTCACTGGTTGTAAAGTTCTGCCTGATGGTTTGTTGCAGCTGGGTGAATCAACTTCATTGAAGACCTTTGGAAGACAAACGACAAGATGTACGTCTATCAACACGTGACAAGGGACTGGCAAATCCACGAACACTTGTCCAGTCTACAAATCCATTGAAACCCTTAGGCTGCCCCCCCCCCAAACCCAACATATAATAATGTTTGATTGATGAAACGTATTCAAAAAAGGGATATTTAGAGAGAACAATCTTCAACTGGAACGTACTCACCAAATCAATACATCCGGGAGCGCATTCTCGATGCTTAATTTTCTCTAGTCATTTTTAAACAATTCCTCCTCCAGCGAATCCAAACACACAATAACTAAATATCACTTTTCTTCTTCATGTCACTCTGTGCACAAAAGCAATGCACAC